AATCATGGGGAGAATTAATAATGTCTTGGCCACTGCTATTATACTCGCCCGCGCGAGGCTTGCTTTTGCATTCAAAATCTCATAGTCTTCACGAGTATGACGTCCCATCTGCACTATCTTGGCGGTCCTCGTTGATCGGTGGTAGGATATGATTCGTCCAGGGAATGAGTGTACGTAGTCTACACTGGTACAACCTTCTCCTCCGTCTCAAAAGATAAGACGGCGTTTTAGGCTAGTTAGTAGTCATAACTTGCTGATGGTGGATTGATCCTAGCTTTGACCTCTGCAAGGAGAGCAATAATGCACACGTATTTTACACTCCTTGCCTAAAATGTTTTGAATTATGAATAGTATCCCCTAAGATGTATTATGTGGCAGCTGCATCAAGATGGTGCACTTGTGACGAATTTACACGCGAGCTCTGCATAGCGTATGCACACAACTAACATCACATGCATGCATGCATGCAATACAAGGCGAAGCATAACGCCATCAATATTCGGGAAAAACATTTGGGCCGTTTGCTCCGAAAACACGCACCGACTGTTAGGTCGTTTGCGCCCGCCACTGCTTGCTTGCCTGTTCCGTACTAGTGACTCACTGGAGATGGATAATCTTCATCCGTCTAATCATATGCTGCATTTGCGATCAATCCATTGACTTTGTACAGATGGTTACGTGTTCCATTACGGGACGATTTAACAAGGGAGGAATGTGCTGCATACCGTCCCGTGAGCTAGCTATATAAGCAGTAGCTACCATTCAAGGCCTTGCATATCTCAAGACATTATTGGTAGTTGCAAGGACGTACGGACTTGCAAGAGCTGAGCAATGGAGGGTGGCCGGGAGCTTACGGTTCTCCTCCTGGTGCTCCTGCTGGTCGGCCTCGCTGGCTCGAGCCCTCCGCCGGAGCCGGTGGTCTGTGCCCATGGCACGTCGGACTGCACTGTCTCCAACGCGTACGGCTCCTTCCCTGACCGCACCGTCTGCCGCGCGGCCAACGCCACCTTCCCGCGCACCGAGAAGGAGCTGGTCGCGGCCGTGGCGGCCGCGGTGTCGGCCAAGCGCAAGGTGAAGGTGGCCACCAAGCACGCCGCGGCGGCCGCGACGGCACCATCATAAGCACGGAGCGGCTCAACCGGGTGGTAAGCGTCGAGGTCGCCAAGGGGCTTATGACGGTGGAAAGCGGCATGGTGCTCCGCGACCTGATCCAGGCCGCCGCCGAGGCAGGGCTCGCGCTGCCGCACTCGCCCTACTGGTCAGGGCTCACCATCGGAGGCCTGCTGGCCACGGGCGCGCACGGCAGTTCGCTCAAGGGTAAGGGCGGCGCCGTGCACGAGTATGTGGTTGGGATGAGGATCGTCACGCCGGCGCCCAAGAGCCAAGGGTTCGCGGTGGTACGGGAGCTCTGCGCCGACCATCCCGACCTCGACGCGGCCAAGGTTTCCCTCGGCGTCCTGGGCGTCGTTTCCCAGGTACGTGGCTCAAGAAATGCCTTTGCATGCGTATATATACTCTTCGTTTTATTACGCTGCCCACATATGCCATGCCATGGCATGTGGCACGGTATGTGTATATCTGCTGCAAAATGTGTACTCTAAGAATAAATGTTTTGTTTAAGAATTGTTATTAAAACCAAACGGAATTTGTTACTTTCTTGGTGCACAAGTTAATTAAGTCATTAATTAGTTCTCTCCTGATTTTTTAATCGTTTTTTCATGGATATGTGCAGGTTACACTGGCCTTGGAGCCGATGTTCAAGCGGTCGGTGACGTTCGTGACACGCGATGACTCTGACATGGCAGAGCAGGCCGTTGTGTGGGGTGGCCTCCACGAATTTGGCGATATGGTGTGGCTGCCACAGCAGCGCAATGTGATTTACCGCAAGGACAATCGCGTGGCCATCACGTCAGTGGGTAACGGCCTCAATGACTACCTAGCCTTCCGCTCCACTGCGACGGCCGACCTCATCAGCGGCAGAGTCATGCAGGAGCTTCTCGAGAAGAAGAACAACACCGTCGCTCGGTGCAAGGAGGCACCCACGTCAGTATCGTTGTTTGAGAAGGCAGCATATGGCACAAACAACGGCAGCTTATTCATGGGGTACCCAGTGGTAGGATTCCAGCACCGCATCCAAGCGTCCGGTTCGTGTCTCGACAGCCCAGAAGATGCACTCCTCACCACGTGTCCGTGGGACCCCCGCATCCGGGGAATCTTCTTCTACAATAATGCCTACATCATCGCGCTCTCCAGGGTATCAGCATTCATCGCCGACATGAAGCAGCTCCGTAACAGCAACCCGAAGGCCTTCTGCGGAATCGACGCCGGTTTGGGTATTCTCCTCCGCTATATCAAGGCATCTTCTGCCTACCTCGGCAAGCCGGAGGACTCGATCGACTTTGATATTACCTACTACCGGAGTTACACCAAGGGTGAGCCCAATCCATACTCTGGTGTGCTCGACGAGCTCCAACAGATGGCGCTACGCAAATATGGCGCCATCCCTCACTGGGGCAAAAACCGCAACTTTGCCTTTGAAGGTGTCATTGCCAAGTACCCCGAGGCCGACAAGTTCCTAGAGGTGAAGGGAAGGTACGATCCTGATGGGATCTTCTCCAGCGAATGGAGTGACCAGGTGCTCGGCATTAATGGGAGCTCGATAATTGTCGAGAAGGGTTGCGCCATTGAGGGGCTTTGCATCTGTTCAGAAGACTCGCATTGTGCACCGGAGCAGGGTTACTACTGCCGCCCTGGGAAGGTGTACACGGAGGCGAGGGTCTGCTCGTTCCAACACATCTGATGCGTTCAGGTGGTTGCATTGAAATTATTTCTGCCGCATGTCCTTGGATACTTTTCTGAACATTATGCTTTTGCTTGTAAGGTTTATGTGTGTCCCGTGGTGATAATAAGAAGTGTCCTATGTGAAGCTGTTCCTTCGCCGGTATGATTGTTGGTTGGTTTGATACACTAGTGCTTTTCATTTCGGTTTATATTTTCTTGTAACTCTGTTTTGTTGTCCTTTGACAATGCATTCCGGCTCCCAAGTTAATTAGAATGGTTGTATGGGAAAAAAATCTTAAAACTATTTGCTATGTGACATGCTGATCTGGTTTTCTTGCACACAGTTTTATGTCAGCCAATCAATTGTTTTGTAGAATTCATTAATATAGAAAGTGGTGCATATCTAAAAAAAATATCCATACATCTAAAAAATGTTCATGCAATGTAAACAATTTGTACGCACCACTAAACAAATGTTCAATGTATTTATAAAATGTTTTAAAAGTACTTGAAAAAGTATGCATCATATATTTGGAAAAATTTCAATGTGCATCAAAAAAATATTCTGTGTGTATACGAATTTTGTAAAATGTGTATTCAGAAAATGTTCAACTTGTATATGAAAAAATGTTGATAATGTATTTTAAATAAATGGTCAAGCTGTATCTGAAAAATGTCTCGTGTGTAATTAAAATGCTCAACATGTACGGAAAAGTTTTTAAAATAAATTTGAAAAATGTTTAATAAGTATACCAAAAAAGATCAAACATGTATTTAAAAAATGGTCATCATGTATTTGAAAAATGTTCGATGTGCATCAAACACATGTTTAACGTGTGTAGGAAAAATGAAGAAGGTGTGAAAAGTAGACATCAATTTGAAACAAAAAGGGAAATAAGAAATGAACAGAAAAAAATAAAGAACCAAAAGAAAAACTAATGAAAACTGAAAATAAAAACACAGAAAAGAGAAAAGAACAACTTATGGAACCTTCCCAAAACCGATGGAAGATTCCACAAACCGGTGCAGAACCACTCACTAAACGCATTATATTGGATCGCCTATCGTAACAATTGCCTACTACAAGACGGTACACAGTCACGCACTAGGTGAGATATAGCTCTCGCGCTATTTCAAGGCGGATATAACACTCACTTATGGCAAGTTTTTTTAGGGACATGGCCAAGTAGTCGACGAGGTGGAGGTATTGTTGTCGGTTTAGCGCGGCTTTGGCCAAGGTTCCATTTGGGTGTTTTATTTTCCTTTTCTACATATTTTAGAGGTTTAATTGGGTTCTTTCTGATTTTTCTATTTTGGGCTTTATTTTTCATTTTTGAATAACATTTTCTCAAATACACGTTGAACATTTTTCAAATACATATTGAACATTTTTCAGATACACGTCAAACATTTTTAAATGTATGTTAAACACTTGTTAAACACGTGAACATATTTTATTGCTTGCTTGGGCTCGCTTCCCCACCGATTTGCCGACCGGAGACACCGACTTCCTTACCTGGTGGGCCTCCTCCTGTGCTCTCGCGCCCGCTTCCATGCGTAAAGGCCTGTCCTCCCTCATGATCCTTACCGCTTGGTGGATTTGGAAGCATAGAAACAGCCGCACCTTCGACGGGGACCGACCCTCTGTCTCCCACCTGTGCTCCACCATCAAGGACGAAGCACGCCTTTGGGCCCAGGTCGGCGCCGCCGCGATCATCAACATCATCCTAGAGCGCTAGGCTAGGGTTTTCTTGGGGATGAGCAACCCCGTCTGTTTGCTCGACGTCCACTTCCATGCCCCCTTTTGTGTACATGGCATAGTGTGTCGTCCTAATCCCATGTTGTAAACATTCTCCTTCTATCAATGGAAAGATACGCATCCTTAGCGTATTCGCGAAAAAATGAACATATTTTATATGTTATTGACATTTTTCATTGCACCCTCTTTTTACATTTCATGAATATTTTTAAATATTATGATGAATAATTTTTACATATGTGAATATTTATTGAATGTATTTAACATTTCGTTGAATGCTATGAACATGTTTTAATGAGCAGTTTATAGAACTTGTGGGAAAAGGTTGAATAGTATGAACGTTTTAAAAATATCATGAATATTTTATCAAATGCCACAAACACTTCACTAAAAATGCGCGAACTTTCTTGGCCTGTGTGAACAAATTAGATGATATGTTTCGTCAGCTACATTCTTATGCCAAGGAGAATGGCATTTCAGTGAGGAAAGAATATGAATACACTCAAAACAACTTTTATAATATGTTTAATCTTCCACTATATACTATTCCCCTCCAGCAATATCATGAGCTACATATTTCAATCAATAGCCTAAACATGGATCTCATTCCACACATATGGAATTTTTGAGGTCAGCATACCAAATATTCAAATAGGAAGGTTTATAACACTCTCATTGGCAAACCTCAAAAGGCTACTGCACCTTTTCAGTGGGTATGAAAATCCTCTGTTTTGCTTAAACAGAGGTTGTTTTTCTAGGTTCTCATACAATATAGATGAAGCACTATGTGGGGGAAAATCTTTCATATTCACAATTACGAATATGTACTATGTGATGAAGCTTGCACTGAGGATCTTATGCAACTGTTGTTTAGATGTGACTTCAGCGAAAACTTCTGGCTATATCTTGGGATGGAATGGAACACTGATCTACTTAGATATTATTCAGACGTTGATCAATGGCAGAAACATAATGATTTTTAGTTGCTTCAAAGAGGTGCTCAATGTTAAATTATAGATGGGCCTTGGCCCATATAAGACAATAATTAATGGTTAATCTCTAAGGCCCATGTAGGCGTATGACAAGTGGTGGGAAGTTTGGTACCACCTCACAAGTTGAGGAGAGTTGAGACCCCTTTATAAGGGTTGCTCTTCCACTAGCCATTGAGAAGAGGAGTGGTACACAGGTGCTCCTCCTCCGTCGCCTGCCTCGCCTCGCCCGCACGTCGTGAGTGAGCCGAGTCAAGTTCAGACCTATGCGTGTGCTCTATTTTGCTGGCCAGGAACAATTAATTAATCTCGGATTAATTGATAAGACACTAACATATGTGACACTGTCTGAGACGTTGGACCGTGGCGTTTGCTTCCCTACCTGACGGCATATATATTGGAGGCGTTTGCTTCCCTACCTGACGGCATATATATTGGAGGCGCTTACCAGTGAAGCCAACACACTAACTCCCTTCTTCCCTTCCACTACTCCCGCAACACCAACATCGTTACGGAAGAAGACACCTCCAAGAAGGTTGCGGAGAAAGTCGAAGCTGCTGCCACCGCGGCGGCCCTAGCCTACTCTACCAGAGGGCATGACTTCTTCATCCCCTACTTACTCGTAGTTCATGTGCTAGCCGTTTATGCTTTGTTCATGGATGATTCAGTTCTATGTTCCTTACGTGCTCATATGTTTAGGTATCTGTATGAGTTGCATACTATGAATGTCATGCTTATTATTTACTTGTGGATCAGATTAATAAAAAATGTGCTAATATATCCATCACTAATCACAGAAATGTTATCATCATTAACCACAAAGATCTGAATCTGAACCAATGCATATATGCTTCCAAGGAAAGTTTCCAACTCGTAATAAGACAACCACACATTTGAACATACCCATTTATTAATAAAAAATGAGATACAGTAGGGGTCTTCCCTACTGTATTATGCTAGAAAAGAGAACAATTTTTTTGATACACATCGGAGATTTCTGGTAAAAAAATCTTAATATCTTTTCATAAAATTTTAGAATTTAACAAAAAGGGGGAAGTGAAAAGAAAAACAGAAATTACTTGTACGTTCGCAGCTTTGCCTAGACTCGTTGAAAGGCTTGATAGCGTGTTGGGCCTGACCCATTTAGAGGTAATGTGCTCATCCGGCAACAAGGGAGACATACACTCACCTCTGTTTTTTTTTGAAAGGAACACCATTGCATTCCATCATATAACAGGGCTGGACAAATCTCCAGCTACAACGTCATTGACAAAATCTGGAAACTGGCCAAGCCAAATCTCAGATATGCCAGCTTCTAATTTAGCACCATATGCTGCTAAAGAGTGTGCGACTACATTACAAGACCTAGGACATGATACAATAGAAACACCACTGAATCCCACATGCAACTGGAACTTAATATCTTTGAAAACAGCTCCTAGAGTTGACATATCATATTCTTCAGTGCGAACCGCATTCTTAAGTTGCACAGAGTCAGTTTCTAACATTACTCTGTTACAACCCATTTGGATGGCTATGTTTATGGCATAAAGCATCGCCAAAGCCTCCGAATAAAGCGCACTTGAGACTCGCTCCAGATTACCTGCACTAGCAGCCATCACCATACCACAATCATCTCTGATTACAAACCCCATCCTCCAGACTTTGTGTTTTCCAAGAAAGCGTCGTCTGTGTTGATTTTCAAAATTTCTGCTGGAGGCCTATGTTGGGGATCGTTGCAGAAATTAAAAAATTTCTACGCATCACCAAGATCAACCTATGGAGAGACTAGCAACGAGAGATAGGGGAGTGTATTTTCATACCCTTGAAGATCGCAATACGGAAGCATAACAAGAACGCGGTTGGTGGAGTCGTACACGCAACGATTCAGATCGTGGTCGATTCCGATCTAACACCGAACGGATGGCGCCTCCGCGTTCAACACACGTACAGCCCGGGGACGTCTCCTCCTTCTTGATCCAGCAAGGGGAGAGGAGAAGTTGAGGAAGAGCTCCGGCAATACGATGGCGTGGTGGTAGAGCTTGCAGTTCTTCGACAGGGCTTCGCCAAGCACTACTACTACTACTACTACTACTACTACTACTACTACTACTACGGAGGTATTGGGGAGGGAGAGGGATGCGCCAGGGGAAAGGGTGCGGCAGCCCTCCAACCTCCCCTCTATTTATAGGGGCAAGGGAGAGGGGGGCCGGCCCCCTCCAGATGGATCTAGAGGGGGGGCGGCCAAGGGGGGGAGGCTTGCCCCCCAAGCCAAGGGGGCGCCCCCTTTAGGGTTCCCCCCAACCCTAGGCGCATGGGCCCTAGGGGGGTTTGGCGTGCAGCCCACCTAGGGGCTAGTTCCCCTCCATATTAAGCCCATAGGGCCCTTTGGGGCAGGTGGACCCTCCCGGTGGACCC